TATAATTAGCTGTACATACTGTATTTCATGTACCGGTACTGGAACTCCACAGTCAGTTAACATCACAGTATATAGCACAAGTCCACAGTTCACATGCAGCAGTACGAGCAATTTCCTCCTATCCAACCTATAAACTTTGTACCTTATTACGAATGGGAAGACCTAATGTAGTAGCACAACCCAACCCTTGGTGGAAGTTGGTTCTAGTGATAACCCTTGGTTCATATGGCTTTTACCCTGACTCGTCCCCAGTAATGTATTCTCTGTGTGGACGATACATGGCAAATTGGAAACTGCTGCAAGGCTATCTTCTCAACAAGTAAAACTGTAAAATTTCCTGCCATTAGACAGAGTAATATAAAGTAGAGCATATTGCCAGTGAATGGGTTAACAAGAAAAATTAGGTTGGGTCATTCCAGAGAACATCGATACCTAACCTCCCCCATGAAGGAAATTGGAAGTTAACCCCCTATCCCCTTCAAAATTCGAATGTCCTTATACACTTCAGAAACAATTTTTTCTCCCCTCCGGACGGTTGAAATTTCCTCTGTGCCCAGGGGAGAGTGGATCTTTTCTGGAACGACCCATCAGACACAGTAAAAGAATAAAGTTGTGGCACAATGCAGCTTACGCCATGTCCAGCCTAGTATAATATCCAGTTAACTCCCCATCTTAATGACCTGCCAAACTTCTTGAGAAGTACAGGGTATTCCTGTTTTGTTGGGTTAATATGGCCATGTGTCTAGTGAACCCATTAAGTTGTATTGTACCCTTGTGTGTCCTACTTCCTTATTTTACTGTCTTTTAAATGCCAGATTATTGTACTCTGTCTAATGCCAGACTATTTTTGAGCTCGCTGAAATCCTTCATTAACAATAAATTTTATAGTTCTGGTTTAGTACGTCAGAGTGCTGTAAGCCTGTAAATATAGCCTGGCAAAGTCTGTTTAAGGACCTGTAGATATACTGTAGCCAGTAATGATTTTTCTGTGTTGGTGTCATGTACTCAGGAATATGATGCTTGTGATGTTACGCTGAGTATATATCCACACCGGGCAAGCGTAATTAAAAAATATGCCTGACCATGGTGGGAATCGAACCTATGACCTTTGGAATACAAGCCCAATGCTCTGCCAACTGACCTACGCGGACAGATTGATTCAAATACAGTATGTGATATTTCGGAACAGAATCTAATTCCTCCAATATCAATGTAATCTAATAATCATTAATGATTTTTCTAGTTCCTTCGATTACATTGATATCGAAGGAACTAGATTCTGTTCCGAAATATCACATATTCGAACCGATCTGACCGCTTAGCTCAGTTGGCAGAGTATTGCCAGGCTAGTATTCCAAAGGTTGTAGGTTCGATTCCCACTGTGGTCAGGCATATTTTTCAAGCTTGCCTGGTGTGGATATACACTCAGAGTAACATCATAAGCATCATAATGTAGCCACTTTGTAATTATTATGATCCCACCGACATGACCCAGCTTGCAATATGAACTCATTCAACTGTTTAGTGAATTATTCTACTTCTATCTGGCCTAGACAGGATCCCACCTGCCAGGACAAGAAACTCTCATGAATATAAGCACTCTATCATCCCTGCCAGGTGGGGTGTATTGTGTCTATATTAAACACACCATCCTGGATTATAACCTACTGTCCATTCATGCCATTATCATATAAAAAGGCACATATATACAGGGTATACTCTAGGAGGGTTTAGCTTGGAAGATCCTTCAAGCTCAAGCTAGCAAAATTTTATACTTTTTTACCATATTGTGGGAAACACTAACCATTTAGTCGTAATGTGCCTTGATGCATTCAATAGTCTTGTTTACACTACCAGCCTTGGCCTAGCCTTGACCAACATTTTGACAGTGTAAACAGACTTTGGCCTAGCCTTGTCCTGACCTAGGCCAGGAAATCTGGGTTCACTACAAGTCTACTGTACAACCGACTTGGCCTAAGCCTAGGCTTGTGGAAATGGCCTAGCCTTGTCCTGACTAGGGTGATGCGGTTTCGTAAAATAACCGAAACCGAGAATCGTCACAAAATAACCGAGATAACCAAAATAACCTACTCTTTTAATCAATGAAATTATTTTGACAAAAATAAACAACATGTCTTGTGTGTTATCCATGTGACGTCTTCGCAGACGTCCGCCTTTCTCTTAGCTAATCAAATCGGAAGCTTTAAGCTTGTTTTGATTCGCTTTTAATCCGCCATTTGAGTCGCAGCGCTTTTCTAGACTTCTAACATTGATTTAAATTGCATAATCACCAAAGAGTATAACGTAGCTTGCTTATAGTTTTATGTTGATCACATGTAGCCCGCTTGTTTGTCTTTTTATTTTGAATTTTATATTTTGAATTGGTTTTTCGGTTAGTTGGTTATCTGATATTTAGAAGACTTGTGAAACCGATCTGTAAAAATAACTGTCTCGGCTAACCGAATAACCGCATCACCCTAGTCCTGACCTAGGCCAGGAAATCTGGGCTCACTACAACAGACCTGGCCTAAGCTTGTGTAAATGTAAACACTTTCGGCCCTGGCCGGGGCCTTATTTTTATGGAAATGTGTGTCCACAGTGAGAGATTAGCAGACAACCAGCGGACAACATCACAACACATAAAAATACACAAAATTAATAACAAAATTCTAGGCCAAAGCGGGCCTGTCTCAAAAAAATAGTGTAATGGTGTAAACGTGCCACATTTTAAATACCTTGGCCTGGCCAAGGCTAGGTCAAGGTTTAGTTGTAGTGAAAACACCACTAATTTTACTCGATCTGTCTAACCCGGCCAGTAACCCTAGGCAGAATTAATGCCTAGGTGATTTTACTTGTCAAGGGGAGAGAGCTGGCACTCAATGACTTGAAAGACCTTGGAAATCCAGGCATTCCAGGGGAGATGTGATTAAAAGAACATAATTTAGTTAATACTCTCAAATAATTCTTATGTTTTGGTATGAATAGGCTTGCAAGCCATTTTCTAGCAAGCCCATATTTACATTCATGATCACATTTCACATATTGTTTCAAATAATACACTATATAATGTGCTTATTCAAAATTTGAATTGTTGGTTTTAACTAATATTTGGCGGCATTGAAATGAAATAATTTCAATATATAAAATCTCGCGCGCGCAAATATTTCAAATTTTAGCAGCCACATGTTCAGGCTAGTACATGTGAAATAATAGGGTCGATGGACGTTATAATTATATGATATAAAGAGTAATAATACATACCTGAGATCAATAAGCCTTTAGCAAGACTTAGAGTCACTTATCCAATACTATTTATACCTTTTCTTGAGCGGAATATAGCTTTTCTTGAGCGAAATCAGTATCCAAACGAAAAAATCAAAAATTTGCAAATCACACTCGACACTTGATACGCGATATCCCACAACTCATTGCGCGCGTGGCACTTTTCTTCTAAAATAGATACACCAAAAAGCGCTCCCTAGTTTTACTATCCGTGGGATTTTAATTAAAGGATTTAAAGTAATATTAAACTTCATTTCAAGTTTTTTTCTGATTATAAGAATATTATTCTAGGTTGGAAAAATGTTATTCTTATAATAAGAAAATTTTTTTTCGAATGTTCAAATTCATGCCTTGTTCTCAAAACGAGATTTTTTTTCTTGAAATACTGCTTAAGATAAGAAATAGTTACTTAAGATAAAAAAAATAATCTAAAAAATAAGACTATTATTCTAGACTAGAATTTGATGTTTTGCAGTGCACGATTTTATGTGAAATTTCACATATGAAATTTCACTTTTTACTTCATGTGAAATCTTTCACATGTGAAATTTCAATTTTTTACTTTATATAAAATCATTTGTCATGTGAAATTTCACTTGTAATTTCATGTGAAATCTATTCACATCTGAAATTTCACTTGTATTCAGTGGCGTGGGGGGGGGGGCAGGGGGATACCCCAATTATATTTTGCCCACTTCCACATTTTGCCTCCCCCCCAAAAAAATGTATGGTTTATAAGTTCTCATTAGTCATTAGTGAATGCACGTATAATGCTGTTTTCACAGTTTCAATATTATTTGTAAGTCTCTGAATGGTAAAACTTGCCAATACTCCAATAATACGTTTCAAGAAAGGCAAAAAAGCTTTAGTTTTGCTGAGTTAAATTCTCAAACATGTAAAGCACTAATAAGATGAACGTATCACGAAATTTGAATAAACCACATCGCATATATGGGGGCGAATATCCTAAAGGGGGTCAATATTCCTATGGTTGGGGAGGGGGGCGAATCTCCTTGAGGGGGGAAGTCCTATGACAACGGCATGGGCAAATAGCACTACCTATTTAACAATTCTATCTTGTCCCCCCCCAAAAAAAAATATGAGTTTGCCCCTCAAATCCCCCCAACCCCATTTTCAATTTCATGTGAATCCTTTCACATGTGAAATTTCATTGTAATTTTTAATTTCATGTGAAACCTTTCACATGTGAAATTTCTTTGTAATTTTTAATTTCATGTGAAACCTTTCACATGTAGTGCAGCGGGTAACTATAATAATTGTGCGTTTTTTGAGAAAAGCATGAAATTACTAACATAGTTAGTGCATACCATAAGCTTTATTTTCAGATGTGGAGGGAAGTCAGGTTTGACCTTGGGGACCGTGTAAGGTCAATCCAAGATGGCCGCCATTTATCATGACGTAATCACACCAATCACGCTAAAATTTGGAACCAAGCAGTGTAGAAAAACATATTAGGTGTCTTTGTATGATAAAATTATGGATACACGTCCAATTGCTGATACGTTTAAGACAGTCTGCACGGAATAACACACAGTTATGTCAAGGTCAATCAATCTATGTTAAATATTTATTTAATGTCATCTAATGAAAGGAGTCCATTGGCACTTTCAAACGTTTATTTTTCCAAAAATATAGCACCTGAAACTTTAAAATAACTATTTACATAACAAGAAGTGATGCATCACAATTGTCGAAATCTAACAGTCTCCAGAGCAGACACACAGTGCTGTGCACTTTAAAGCAGCTTTGACACATTTGCAGCGTCCAGTGCACCCTTTCTTACAGCTGCAGTGGATCAATTCATGGCACGATTTCGATGCTTCGGGAAGAGTGGTGCAAAGAGGCTGCCACCCAGTTGTGTCCCTTGTCCATCCCCAGTCAGATGGGTCTGGCATCTCTGGATCCTTCACTAATGCCTGGTTCCAACAGTGAGCCTGGTAGCGAGTCCGCTTGATATGTTGCTTGAGTGCAGCTTGTGTTGGAGGGATGTTTTCTAAAGTTCTAGACTTCTGTGTGAATAGCTGTTTCCTGGCATCATTGACGTTAGTACTCTCGCTGGTTCGGTCGTACATCAACACCACATATCGCTCTAGCAGTAACAAAGCTTTTTCACTGATCTCATTTGGCATGCATAGGAGTTCACTGAAAGCGTCAATCACGTCTGGAAAAGACTTCAATGTTTGCCATGCTGTCTTCTTTCCTCTGCCAGCGAATGTAGATACAGTATCACAGCCAGTATATGCGTGAAAGACTGGAAGAGTGAGACATTCTGAGGGAGACATTGTGGAAACTATTTCGTGAATAGCTATGTACCGAAAACTTGATCCGGCGCCAAAAGCAATCCATAGCTCATCAGGGCCAATCTTGCTGAATGAAGCCACAGCCAGTACCACTACTTCAGTATCAACGGTTCGTATAGTGATCTTTGTACACCCCTTTTGCACAGCATCTGCCACATGCAGAAGTAGACGAGTGTCGGCTTCCTCTTGCGAACACGGGGCAAGGCGGGCTAAGTTAGACTCAGCAGGAGAACAGAGGACTCCACTTCCATCACTTGCATATAGTTCCTTGCCATCTGCTAGCGGAATATGAACAACTTTTTGTGACAAGAAAGTGAACAATTCAGTCTTGTTCTGATCGACTCGAAGGAAGTTCTTCCAGTTCTTAGGCATTGCAGTGGAAGGAGCGACCCTTTTCCTGGTTCCTTTCCCCCTCTTCTGCCTGGTGGAGGCCTTCAGGCTTGCAGGTAGGTATAAATCCCAGACAAGGTCGACGCGGTGACTCTTCTGGAATTGGGCAGCGATGTACGGTGTAAACACTCTTTCACCATATTCTTGAAAAGTTTTTGATGTTCCAGGATTCAGCATTTGGACCACAGCTGCACCATCAAGAATTGTTGCATCAACCACTGGCACGCCATTTTGTTCAGGCAAATCTGCTTCCAGACAGCGAAGTAGATCTGCTTTAACACCACTCCGCATCTTTCCTGCAATTGACAGAGCTGGTGGAGCTGACTGGTTTTCATGAGCAAAGAATGTGTCGATGTCTCAATCACGAGTTTGACAAGAGATGTATAACCTCGAAAAGAGACCACAGTCACTCTTCAGTGCCGCCAGCTGTGCTTTCTGTTTTGATTGAACTTTGACAGGCGGCCTACTAAACAATGGCAGCTTGTTCTTTGGAAGTGTTTCCGTGATAGGTGTTTACACTGTTCTAGCCTCTCTGTGACAAACTTGATGTATTGCTCTTCACCCAGGGTCTCGATCTTTCTCACAGTTTCTGCCACTTCAGCGTCTACAATGTCCCGTGTATCAATGACTAGTAGGTCTTCACTGTGTTCTAAGAACGGATTTCCCATCTCGTCCAGCACTGTTACAAGTGCTTTAAGCTCTTTCAAGAATGCTGCTTGCACCCCAGGTTGCTGGTCATGATGACTGCATTTAGTGTCATGATGTTGCTTCATGGCCTGTTCCTCAAACTCTGTTGTAAGTCTGGCGATTTCTGGCCCTGCTACCATCCAACG